AGGGCGGGGTGCCATGGCAGGGTGCCTGGCTGGGGGAAAGCGGCAGCTGACGGCAGCAAAGTTTCGGGGGAGCAGCAGGGAGGGAAGGAGGAGGAAAACCTTCCTGCAGACCCCCGTCAGGGCTGGCCCCGCGTCCCCGGGCGCTTCCCAAACGCGCAGGGACTGAGCCGATGGCTGCAGTGGGATTGCCGAGTCAGGAAATCTGCTGGAGCTGTTTACAGCTCTCAGCGACTGGAGCTTTCAGGGCTGTAATGCAACCTCCCCCCCTCCCCGTCCCTGTGGCGGGATATTCACACGCCTCCAGCCCCATACGCTGCCTGGGCCCTGACGCAGGGGGTCCGGACGGGCCGTCGTCATCTGCTGTGTCACATACCAGGACATAAAGCCCGGGAAAGGCAGGGGGAGGCACGCATAAAGCAAAACCCCGGGTGGGACCGACGCATGGGAAAAATAGTCACCAAGCAAGGAGCTGGGCAGCCTGAGAGAGCTAAAAGCTGGGAACCAGGCACTTGTGCCAGGACCAGGTGGTGCCTTGGCCCGCACCGTGCACTGGGATGGACCCGGATCCGGCCCGCTTATGCCATGGAGAGCGATGGGGAAGGTTGCACCGACACGATTCTGCCACAGGAGAACACGCAATGCACAGAAAACACATCCAGCCGACTGACCAGATACAAGTGTTTGAGACTTCACGTGCAATTAGAAAGATATTAAATTGGACGTCCAAAAAGCAAGCAGGGATGGCAGCAGGCTCTGTTTCTGCAGAAGCCAGTGGCAGTCTGGAGTCACCCCCCCAGGTGCTGCATTTACACTGGGGCCAGCAGAGCTGGTGATGGGCCAAAGCGAAAGTCCTGGGCGAGAAAGGAGACCCGGAGCTTGTGCATTTGACTCAGCCCAAATCCATGGGGTTGCACAGAGCAGGGTTTATGTGGCCAGCGCTGCAGGATCAGGCCCGGATAAGAGCGATTGAGGGAAGCAGAATTCAAGCCCACAGACTTACACTGTGCCAGACCAAAGCCCTCAACGTGCCCTGCTGATGCTGAAACCTCAAACCAACTGTGGCCGCAGACCAGAGCATCTGTGCAGCCGCAGACAACGGGCTAAACGAGAAAGGTTCATTTGCAGCTCTCTGGTTCAGTTATTTCTCAAAAAAGGCAACAAAACAACAGCAGCTTAGGAAGCATTTTCAGCCACACATTGAATTGTACAGGCTGGACCGATGAGCTGATCGTGACCTAGATGCATGTTTAATGGGGAAGACCGTGCTGCTCCCACAGCTGAGACAAGCCGAGCACCGCTCAGCCTCGTGCTGTCCCTACGTCTGTCTGTGCCCTGGATGTGTAACCTGCCGCGTCAGAGAGGCTCTGGGTACAATGCTGCACCTCTGAGCTACCCCGCGGTGCACAGCCAGCACAGCACAGCCAGCACTGCCTGCACTGGAGCTGGCCCTGCCCAGGTTTAGCAGCTGGGGCGGGTAGCCCAAAAATCAACCTGACCTGGCATGGATGGATTTGAAAGGCTTGGTTCGACAGCTCCACAAAAGCACCATCCCCAAGTCTCGGTCCCTCTGTATCCTGCA